TTAACTTACCGTGCACGACGTATTTTCCACTTGTGTGTGTGGTTGATAGGCAGTGGAATTGCGTCGGTTAGATTTCTATCAATTAACATTTTATGTGTCGTTGTTCCTTGGAACAATTTCTCACAACTCCGGTATCGGTCGTACATACACCATTGCTTTATATGATGCTTATAATAAAATTTCCATGGAATATGTACTGGTTTCGTGTCTCTCGCTATCAGACGAGAAAATTAACACATAGTCGATATAAAGTATACCAAGTATACACGTATCGTTTAAACAATATTTTTATTCTCGCAATGGATGCTAGCCTTTGCCAGTCGATTTCAGGAAAATGGTATGTACCTATTAGAGTGTGCAAGTTGCATATCGCGCTCGGGTGTCGGAGACGTCCCGGGACGTTCTCCCTAGGTGTTAGGCTAATTTGCACCCGGGCGTATGCTTGAGAACCGTGGAGTGTTGTGTGTTGGTGAGAATGTCTTTTGCCAAATTCTTGTTAAATATAGGGCTAGGTAGGCAGGTAGCATATTTTCTGGTGTATGAATGTCCGATTAGACTGTAAGTAGGTAGGGGCCGGGGCAGGCTATCACATTCTCTGATCGGGTAGGCGTTAGGTGTTTGAAGGCACGTTTTGAATCGCATATTCTTTACATTTTGCTCTCAGTTTACACGTTCATATAGTCACATGTTCATATATATATATATATTTATTTGATTTTTTATTAACATCTAAAATCCCTGTTGGGATTCATTTCTGTAATACAAGATGATATAATATTTTAATCACGTTACATATGCTCATTGAGTAAACTTTTAACATAGTATGTTCATATATATCTACTGTAGATTACACTTAATAATAGCTTGGTATTCGGTGCGTGAACGATATGATGAGTGGTAACTCTATTCCGATAAGCACCTTCGTTTGAACGTATGTTTCTGCGTTGCGATTAATGTAAGTTGTTATGTGTGCCCGACACAAATTGTGTCATTGAAAAGGGCAACTACTAATGGCTCTGCATCTTCGGATGGGGATTCATTCTGTTACTACTTTGTCACTGTTTTGTGTGTGTGCGTGCGTGTGTTCGTTGCGAGCGTACTAATATTTAAGTCGTTTTGTCTTTGTCTGGCGTAGCCACATAGAGTGTAATATTAGTGTTGCGGATGAGACGAGATTACGGTTTGCATGGAATTGTAAATTTTCAATACAGATCATCGCAGTTGCTTAGAGAATAAATGTTTCCTTTGAGATTGTTTTTATATTTCAAAATAGTGTTGCGATAATGACTGAGCGCGATTGAAGTTATTATTTTTTTAATTAGTATTGCAATCTATAGGATGCCTAAAACCATTCCGGCACGATCGTAACTACAGAACAGTTGTGTTCCATATTATGAGACCAAAAATTTCGTCATTAGGTATTTAATTAAATAGTGTAGCGAACAACAAGCACCTTCCGCGTTTTTCAACATTCTTCCGACAATATATTAATGTTAAACGATTACTGTTACCCACCTTAAGAGTGGTACTTTTTTTAGTGAATTTTCTGTTCCAGGAATTGTCGTGGGATTATATTTCTAATTTATCAAAATAAAATATGTATAAAACCATATTATTGTACCCTTTTATACTTACTATGTGTTAACACTTTTTTTTAGTGACCGTCTCACGAATCATAGTATGATCTACTTAAGCTTCGTTCATTTAAACTTAGGTCCAGATCTGAAGATATCTCTTGGTGTGAAGATCATCGCAACATTTGTGTTCGTTTGAAGATCATGAGAAGACTTTTGTTCGAAGATCACATGGAAATTTCTCCTCACGCGACGATCATCATTAGGCCGTGCGGACTTAAAAAATAACTTGTTTCGTTGCACATGCCGTAACCGAATGGTAGGCGGTGTTAGTGCGAGGGTGTTGACTTGCAGTCAAAGTAGCCTTCTAGAAATAAATGGTGACAATCGGTATTACCTTCGATAAAGTATTGTAAAATTACCAACCTATAATTACTTCACTTTGCTCGCGAGTTCTTTACACGGACATAGTATACGGCGCTAAAGCTGTTTACCGATCCCTCTGGATTCTCCGGAGAATTCAGATATCGGTCGCGTTATGCCTTTGCTGGGCGTAGCTCCATAAGTATATTTGGATTTAAAGATAATCGTGCCGCGTTATTTTTGCAATACAAGATGATATAAATTTTTAATTACATTACATATGCTCATTGAGTAGACTTATTACAAAGTTTGTTCATATATATCTACTGTAGTTTACACTTAATAATAGCTTGGTATTCGGTGCGTGAACAACTTGATGAATGTTAACTCTATTCCGATAATTCCCTTCGTTTGGACGTATGTTTCTGCGTTGCGATTAATTTAAGTTGTTGTATGTGTGCGTGCTTGTCTACGTGTGTGTGTGTGTTCGTCGCGAGCGTACTAAGATTTAAGTTGATTATGACGAGACTAATTGTAACAGGTTGATAGACGTTGAACATGGGATTCCGTCCATCTTCCTCGGGTCTCCATTCGCAGCAACCTCCACGTGGTGAGACCTGGGCAATCGGTATTCGATAAATATACCTAGCCAATGGCTGCGAACAAGCTATTATTAGTTCACTTTGCTCGCGAGTTCTTTACACGGACTTAGTATACGGCGCTATGGCGTGTAGGTATACTAATGCTGTTTACCGATCTCTCTGGATTCTCCGGAGAATTCAGACATCGGTCGCGAATATGTCTTCCCTGGCGTAGCTGCATAAGTATATTTGGATTGAAAGATAATCGTGCCACATCTGTTAATCGCCTCTCGGGAGATTGGTGCCCTACAGCGGAGACGGTTACGGTCTCAGCTTCTCCCATCGCAGATCGGATGTCCATTATTGGCTCCGGCATACGCTTTGGTTGGTCGCTTGGGCTTTAATCGGTCGAGTCATTCACCAAATAGCCAGGGGGGATTTAAGGGGTTTTTTGCAACCAGGTTTTTGAAGGCACGTTTTGAATCGCATATTCTTTACATTTTGCTCTCAGTTTACACGTTCATATAGTCACATGTTCATATATATATATATATTTATTTGATTTTTTATTAACATCTAAAATCCCTGTTGGGATTCATTTCTGTAATACAAGATGATATAATATTTTAATTACATTACATATGCTCATCCAGTAAACTTTTAACATAGTATGTTCATATATATCTGCTGTAGATTACACTTAATAATAGCTTGGTATTCGGTGCGTGAACGATATGATGAGTGGTAACTCTATTCCGATAAGCCCCTTCGTTTGAACGTATGTTTCTGCGTTGCGATTAATGTAAGTTGTTATTTGTGTGTGTGCGTGCGTGTGTTCGTTGCGAGCGTACTAATATTTAAGTCATTTTGTCTTTGTCTGGCGTAGCCACATAGAGTGTAATAGCCAGGGGGGATTTAGGGGGCTTTTCTGTAGCCAGTTTTTGAAGGCACGTTTTGAATTGCGAACTCTTTATATTTTGCTCTCAGTTTACATACTCGTACAGTCACATATTCATATATATATTTTTTTTTCTGTGATTTTTTATTAACATTTAAAATCTCTGTTGATAGTCATTTCTGCAATACAAGATGATTTAAATTTTTAAGTACATTACATATGCTCATTGAGTAGACTTATTACAAAGTTTGTTCATATATATCTACTGTAGTTTACATTTAATAATAGCTTGGTATTCGGTGCGTGAACAACTTGATGAATGTTAACTCTATTCCGATAATTCCCTTCGTTTGGACGTATGTTGCTGCGTTGCGATTAATTTAAGTTATTGTATGTGTGTGCGTGTCCGGCGCGAGCGTACAAAGATTTAAGTTGATTATAACGAGACTAATTGTAACAGGTTGATAGACGTTGAACATGGGATTCCGTCCATCTTCCTCGGGTCTCCATTCGCAGCAACCTCCACGTGGTGAGACCTGGGCAATCGGTATTCGATAAATATACCTAGCCAATGGCTGCGAACAAGCTATTATTAGTTCACTTTGCTCGCGAGCTTAAAGAGCAATATCTCATTAAATATAATAGTTGCGATGGGAGCAATTTTAGATTCCGAGGGATGAAATTGGGAGCAATTTTTTAAGATAAAAATTGTTAAGAAATATGTACTAATATTCCCCGCCCACTATTCTTCGGTATCCAGCGTCTACTCTAGCCACTTGGTGGCGGAAAGTGGAACTAAATCAGAACCTTCTTAATCTAATTCTGGATGTTCGCCGGTAGAAGGTACAACTATATCGATTGTTGTAGTTATCTACGCTTTTTGCAAAAGTTTCTGTATTAGTTCCAATTTTCGCCCCAGGTGGTTACCACAATTTTATACACTCCCCCATTTTGCGGCTTATCCACGCTATGTTGAATTTTAAAAAATAGCAAAAAACTGAAAAAATGGGCATCATTGTATTAACCATGTCAATCTGTAAATTATTTTCCGCGTTTTTATCGCGTTACAGGTATAGTTCTAAAGTCAGCTCACTCGCTACTTCTAAAGTAGCTAAATAGTCATAAATGTGCCAGTGATTATGAATGTGTCGTTTATGACGTTATTATATGCCAAGTGTTTGCGTTGGAAATACTGCTGAAAAAGATATTTATTTTGTAAAGAGGAGTATTCAATTTGTTTTAAAATAACATATTGTTTTGTAAGTTCTTGGACCATTAATATCTGCTACATACATATTCAAGGTTATCAACTTATATTCCAATTGTTATTATGAAAGAATTTTGGAAATGAAAAATACATAAGTTTCATAATCACCGGCAGAAATGGCTTTACATAATTATTTAAGATTTATAGTAAATCGATATTTATATTGTCAACTGTACAGTCGCTAACACAAAATGTTGTACTTCCTTGTATATAATAATTGCAACAGAATCCTTGAAGTTATCGCTATTTTTGGTGTTGTTCTGGCAAATTATTGGTAATGGAACATTTAAACAATTTATTTATATCTTTTTAAGGAATTATAATTTGTATCCTATGCGGCTAATCGATCCGACAACACCAGGAGCAACGACACTCGGGAGATTGTAGATTTGCACAGCTTGTGGTTGCACACCAACTAATCGCGTAGCCCTGAAGTTGGGCGTGACAACCAATGGTCGAACACCATTGAATCCACGGAATTGTTGAGCCTGCACAGTATTACTCTGGCGGTTCAGAAGTCCTGGATACTTTGATATCATTCCAGTTACGCTTCCATATGGGATTCCACCTGTAATGAAGTAACAATAATCATATGATGATTCAAATAATGAATCACTGTAATTCAAGATTAGTAAAACTTATTCTTGCCAATCAACATTTGATTACTCAAATTATCCGAAACAATTCGACACATCTCAATAATTTAAGTGACTGATGCGTAGGACGCTTCCAGGCATTGAAGTCTCTAAACTCTTGCTCATGTTTCTCATTAATCTTACGTATAAATAGAAAATATAACATGTTCTATGTGTTACTTTTGAAGAATTTCTATTTTGTTAGTTCATCTGCCTGTAAAGTATTACAGTTCCCTGTCCAGTATAGTCGAAAGTTTCTCACTGAAAAGTGAAAAGACTTGAAATAAAATGGCTCGAAAGATGGTGTCGTTCTCTGTTGTCGTATACATGAATTCGCGACAATAATGATAACTATCTGTCTTGAAAATAGATAAATTAAAGGAATTCAGATTTTCTTCTATCTAATTTCGGGTCAAGTGATCGGTTCAACGTTCAGTTAAATTGATATAAATATTTGCGTGGGTACAAGAGGCAAGTGTGTACACTAACTTACCGTACGCCAATCCGTTCACCATCTCCACGATCCCTGCGCTGTCCGGTGCGACCGTCGATAAGTTCAGCAAACCAAGCAGAGTCAACAGCAAAGTGGTCTATAAACATTTCGTTATTATCAGTGAACATACCAAAGATGTATACACTTCAGTCACTTTACAATTTCAACAAACTGGTTTTGTAAAATTTTAAACTGACACTATTATCAATTATAACCAGACTGCAGATTTTATGCATTTATAACATGCACGATTATCTGAGACTTATGTAGGACTGTGAGCTGTATAATAAAAGTTAATGAGGTTTTTACTTACAGAGTAGTAATGAGACCAAATTCGTGTTGAATTCCAATTTCCGTAAGCTAGTCCACAAAAATCTATGTTCGCGTAAACATCCGTAGTCTAGTTAGAATTAATTGTTGTTTTACATTTTATATATATTTTTCATCGATTATACAAAATCCAGCCGAATAATATGTAAAAACGAACACCACGTGATTCCTTATGAAAAAATGAGATAGAAATGTAGAATAAAATATTTTAATTCTGGGTTTAATTTTCGAGAAAATCGTCTTTGAATATGTATTGGATACACGTACAATTGAATAGGTCGAATAGGACATGGTTACCTCGTCTGGTCATTGCATTCCGTTTCAACTTACTACCATCAATGAAAACTAAGCCGAGAATAATAAAACTTTATTCTATATATTTTTTCTTATTTTTTCATATGGAATCACGTGGTACCCGCCTTTACATACTATTCAGCCGGACACTGTATTAAAAAAGTTGGAATATAATAACTAGATGGCGACTTTTATGAATTCGTAACGGATGCAATTAGATAATCAACAACAAATCCCACCAGAGCCTTCTATTTTTAATACATGCAACCATTAATATAGGAAATACCATTTAATCAATGGTTTTCAAAATTACTCCAGTACACTCATAGAAGTCTCCTAAACGTTCTGAATGTAGTAATGAATCATTGATCTTAGACTTCAAGTGTGCCGTAACCGAACTCAAGCAACTGCAGTGACAGCCACAAATAGAAAGTGAACTGTTATTTGCATCTTAATTTTTTCCATGCTTTATACTGCATTTGCAAGTAAACAAGGTGTGCAAACTGCTACGCACAAATGTAGAAATTCTGCGAAACATTAACTAGACACTGTCGCGGCGTTAACTGTTAAACATTAAACGCTAACACTTTCCCCTGAAAACTTATTAGTAATCTAATCAAATACAGTAGTAAAAAAATTTGATAGTAAAGAGAACTTGATCACTTTAAAACCTTTTGTTTTTAAACCTTTAAAAGATACATTATCTGAGTGTCCAATGGACAGACCGCGAAACAGGAGTGAAATTCAAGTACGAAGACGTAGATCGAATTATATACTCGGCATAAGATTACCATTGACCAATCACAGACGAGGATTTAATTTCAATTATTTTTGTAACACCAGAACATTGTCAGCCAAATATTTAAAATTGTTCTTTTAAGCACGAAGAAACAGTAAATGAAAAATGTATATGTTTGAGAAAAGTTCATCGAAATATTTTGCAATTTCATCTTCGAGCTACTTTCAATGAACTTGAATTTTCTATGTGCTCTGTCCCAAAATGTTCAACGAACGTGTATGTAACACACTCAGGTCTGTGAAACATATCTGGACCTTGAAAAACACAATCACCTCTCACAGCGTCACTCACGTGATCTGCATCATGCTCATACATACTCCATTTTCTCTTTTTGTTGTAGTTAGACCCGTTTACGGACTTCTTAATCGTCTTACAGAGAACAACGTTCTCTTTGTACTAAATGATATCGAACAAAGCATATTCTATTCTAAGTTTAGTACTCCTCGCCAAATTATAGGAATATGAACTTGATTTATTTGAATTCAATACAGGAATCTATTTTACTATATACTATATATTTAGTATACACATTTCAGGTGTAAAGTATTTTTTATATTCACTAAAATCTTAAAGTGCCACTATAATGTTTATGTATTTTTATAATATAAAACTTTTTGAATTGGCTTTGTAGGTTGTTATGCATAAGCGTTACAAATTTCTGGAAAATGATAAATGAACGCTTTATTCGAAAACACTTCAACGAATTTAATCTTCTTCCACTTGTGCATGAAAAGCGTAGCAGCTTTAAATATAGAGAATTAGATAAAATATTTTTACAAACTTAGTTACACTTTTCTCAGTATTCTCAAAACAATGATACTCAACACAACACGTGAATACTTCCTTGTTTTCATGATCAACATGAAATTTTCATGTTTCCAGATCAACGATACAGCACCACATTTAATTTGCACCGTAATTTCGAATATCCTATTTCCATAATCACAAATGCAAAAACCGTTTCTTTTCCGTTTTCCCGGAACGTAACGTACCTTTGCAGGTAGCATATTGACCTTTCCGTAGCCGTGACGTGAGGGCAGGATAGAAACTAAAGCAGTAAAGTAAAGAACGAATTATATATGGGGCTCGGCCTAGCAATTGGCCAATCAAAGGCCGCTATTCCCTTTCAGCACCGAATGTTGTAAACCCAGCGCAGGATTTTATTAGAATGCGTTGCGTTCATACGTAACCGAAGCATATGTCCACCTTAACCTTCGCGAGCGCTGGCTTACCTCTCACAATATCTACGTTGGTCGCGATCGCGTAAAGTAGATCCCACTTTTCTTGAATATTTTCCCTGAAGAAAATTCGTCTTTATAAAATCTTCGCAATGAATTATAATCCAACAGAATCATGAGAATTATTCATTGGAAAAATTTCAAACAATTTCACTTACTGAAATTTATAATATTATTAATAATTAATACATTAGTGATATATTAGAATAATAAGATATTAGCTGATTTAATTAAATTTTGAAGGATTCAATTATTTCGCCTTACACTATCAATGGCTGCACAGAAACTTAATGAATTACCGTAGCCATATTATTTTATAGCTGTAATGATATTCAGACCATGAAGTTTTTAAGTACGAGCAATTAAGTAAAGTCATTATACTCTAGATGTGGAATAGCTTCACTTAGCAGTACCGCAATGATATGCGTCATTATTCTCAGCCAACGTAATGCGTTGGTAAGTTCAACTACACCTTTTTCCAAGGAATGATTAATCGATGAACTATTTATTGTCTCTGATGAATAACAATAAAGGAAGGAATTGTTGGTATTACCATAATAAGTTGGAGAAATTGTGATATTCTAGTTTTTGTTTTAAATTAGGTTAAGGTTACTTAGCTTGGTTACACGTTTGCCCCATGAGCAAGGAACGTTGTTACGTGAGAGTAATTGTTTTCAGATCTAGCTTATAGTGACTAATTACATTCAAACTGACAAAAGTGTGTATCAAATTAAAGAAACTGTAATTTTGAGTTCTACGATAATTTTTCGACTTACAATATATTATGTTATCTGTCATGCAACATTTATCTTTATTCAAAACAGTCTAGTTTATGTACAACAACAGAATCAACAGATTAATTGCTTAACGATAACAAACACTTTATGTTCCTAAACAAATAGTGATAGGGAGCAAATGAATACTACATTCTATTAAAAAACGTTGTAGATAATAGTTCAATGAAAACTATTTATGGACGTTCTAAAGAAGAATAAATCTTTATTTATAGTAAAGTCCTCTGATTCATTTTCTCTTTTCTTATCTGTTATCGTGCCTCTCGCTCTCCTTTTCTTTGGTTGCTTGGTTCTGTAACAATTCGATTTTCATTCTCTTCGTGTCGTTACTTTTTTTTGCCGTGAAATTCCTCGGTCGCTTTCGATTGACTCGATTTCATAGTATTTCTTGTTGTTGACAAATGAGAAATAGTTCTCACCGTGTTGTCCTTCGATACGTTCTAAAATTAATGAGTTTGTAAGTAATCTAATTGTTCGACGTCGACATATTATTTTACATTCGAATTACTAATTTAACAAGATAAATGCATAACATAAAGGAAGAAAGTTTAATGAAAAATATAGTTTAAAGGCTAACAAAATATAAGAAGAAAAAAATACAAAGCAGTGGAAATCTTCAATTACATTCGTTCTATTCTTGTGCATTGTCGAAGTAAGTAGGTACAAATAAAATAATACAGTACCTTAGAAATTATAATTCTCCGATACCCAGGATTTGGTGGAAATAATTTCCCTCGACTCTTGTTGGGACAGTTGAACAGCTCTGTTTTGCGGTACGAAACTTGTATCCGACTTCAAGATACTTTCGAATCCAAATTCATCATCCTCACCGGGAATACCGTCAGACTTATCAAAATCACTCAATGCTTCTATTCTATCGTCCTTAAAATCAAATTTCTTATCATCGTCCTTTACAGAATTCAACGTTTTTGTCGACTTATCAGTTTGCACGTTCTTTCTTTCGTCATGATCACCGAAATCATCCCGAGTCTCAACAGATTCACTTTCTGAACTCTGACCGTGTACATTCTTTTCCTCACTGCCATTATCCTTATTCAATCTATCCTTCCGTGAATCCTTCTCCTTTAGTTCATGATCTGTTGTATTTTTCATTGATTCTTTGTTCGTTGGACTCTTCCCTCCGCCATGATTTTCTTCCGGTGCCCTCAAACGATGCTCCATTGATCTGTCTTTCGCCATTGAAGCTTCTGTCTCCTTAATCTCACTGGTATACTTTTTATCTACGATCTTAAGATTGTTTTTCTTCAAATCTTTGACCGACTTCGGCTGTTTTCTTCTCGCTACTCGCGGTGCCGAAGTGGTACTAGTCGAAGAAGCGGACGTAACAGAGCTAGCAGTCTTTTGTCTCCTTCGACCTCGATTCACATCAGTCTTCGCTGTCGTTTCCGTAGTTGAAACATTCTTGGGAGGTCTGCGTCTTCTTTTGTTCGCCAGCGTCGTAGAATTACTGTTTTCATTAGAATTCGCCGTGGCCACCGCCAATTGGGACTTGTCTAAAATGTTCTTTAATGATACACTCGAATTTCTATTTGTTGTTTCATTAGACTCATCTAATAAACTCTTCCTAGATTCTTTTCTCCCGTTTCTTTTTGGCGCCATAGTGACATCTTCGGGAACGATTCCCCTCGAAGATCCACGATTAACGTGACCAGCTTTCATTTCTCCAGAATTCTTCTCCTGGCTATTCGACGTATCATTAAAATCGCCATCAAGAACTATCTCGCTAGACCTACCGATCTCTTCCACGATTCTCGATCTGACGCTCGTAGCATTCTCATCGAGTGGCAATTTGGCGCTCTTCGAATTGTATCTGCTACTGTATTTCATTACTGGACGATTTTCACTGCTGCTTTCTATATTATCAGAATCGTTCTCTTCTGATGAATCTTCGTCCCTACGAGTCCAGAAACGAATTCGTCCCCGAGGATACGCTTTTCTCCGATGTTTTATGGTAAAAGCATCATCGATGTCATCATCCTCGTCGGAATCGTACTTCCTACGTTTCTCTTCTCTCTTCTTCCTCTCCTCTCGCGCCAGGCGTTCTCTTCTGTCCCAGGGATACTCGTATTCTCCTATCGACTTACCGCGATATCGATTACGTTTCCTCTTCTTGTCCTCTCTGTCCCTGTACCAGGGGAAAATGTAATCATCCTTCTTGTCGCTTTCCTCGGTCTCCTTCGAGTCTTCCTCGGAGCTGCTTTTTAGATAAGAGTTTTTCGAACTCAGAAGGGAAAATGAAGGATGATAGAAAGATGGTTTGTTCACTCGAGGCCCGAGATCCGTGTATCTCTCGTCCTCGTAATTTTCCGCTGGGGACGAAGGTCTGGACCAATAATTGAAGAACGTTCCATGGTCCTTCGAATCGTTCTCATTCGAATTACTATCTTCTTCCGATGATTCTTTGCTTGGCTCGATCTTCGTGTTCGTTTCGAGTTTTTCGGAGGACACTTCGTCGGAGAAATCAGACTGGTGGAGCTGCTTTGGAGCACTGAAGTCTTGCTCGCTACTTTCTTTCGGAATTGTCGTATTCAAACTGGAATCGAAGTTTTTGGTGTCGTTGTTGTCTGGGAAAAGTGATTTTTTGAATTCCTCGGAGGAGTATTCGGTGTATCCTGGAGGATCGGTGTCCAAGAAGGCTTTCAAGCTTGAAAATTCTGCGGATCTCTGTGTTGTCGTGCCGTCCTCTTGGATAATTTCGTGGACAGCGTAGGCATTCTCGGTTTTGTTTGAAGTTCCATCATTTGACGGCTCAATGGAACCTTTATTAGACTCGTCGATCATTTCAGATGAATTCAATGCCTCTTTATCGGTATTATTTACGAAATATTGAACAGCTTTGTTTTCTTTTACCAGCTCCCGACTACTTTCCTCCACGTTTCCGTTTGTCGTACTAATTACAGGTGGCTCCGTCCAGCTAATTTTATCAGTCGAACTCAATAAAGACGTTTCGGTTGTAGAAGAAACTGCATTCGTAGGCTTTCTCCGTTTTATATAATTATACCTTGGTTCTTTTCTCCTATGATTCTCCTCCACTTTCGTCTCATTCGTGAACTTCCCGGTTCTCCTGATCTCTCCCTTCGGTTTCGAATATCTAATCCTGTCCTTTATCGTGTAAATCATTTTCGGAGACTTTTCTTTCCATTCAGTCCCATGATCTCCAATTTCTCCTGAATTCGACTGATTCGTCAAATTCTCGACAGTCTCACGTTTACCGTCACTTTCTCGCTTATCCTCAACAATTCCCCTGCTGTCAACACCTTCGTCTACCGAAGAAATCTCTGTAGAATCTTGCAAAAATCTTTTAATATCGTCCTCGATCCTCGCGTCTCGTTTATATCTAATGATTTTCTGGCGATAATTAATCGGTCGCAACCCATTCGCGGTCCTCTGCACAAGTTGCACCCTCGTTTTATTTCTCTGCGGTACTTTAACCCTTTTGTACGTCGTTCGATGCCTATTCAACTGATGATTGGACTGACTCCTCGGCGGAGTCAATCCGTCCACATTCAAACCCGGGTTACTCTGATGCTCAACGCTATTAATTAACGTACGATCTTTCTCTTTCTTCCCGATCTTCGTCGAGTTCGCGGATGTGTTCGTTTTAGGTTCGCTGATCTCGGTCACGCCTGCTTGCTCGTTATTTGGAACCGTCGTGATCTCTTCCACCTGATACGAGTTCGCCATGTTCTTTATGGTCCCCATAACGTCCTCGTAAACTTGGCTCTGATAAGGCATATACGACGGGAATATCTCGCTAGCGGACGAATATGGTCGTCTTATGGTCTTCTGAGGCTTCCTGGCCTTCACGTATCTCGTATTCGTCCCCTTTATTCTGATCACTCGAGGTCTCGTGGCCAACACTGTTCTGGGATAACTTTTCACGCGAACAAGACGCGGTTGTTGTTGAATTCTCGTCGGTGTAGCCTGCGGTTTCCGTTGTCGACGATGGTTCTC